ATTTCTACCTCTAATTTCTAACCATTAATAAAACAAATCCCATATTAAAAAGTATTCTGTATCTATCCATCATCTCTTGCCCTTTTTAGTATTTCGACTCTTGTTGACTTTTTAAACCAATCTCACATGCTCCTTCCTTGGGATCTGATGTCTCCTTGCATCACTCATATTTAGTCTAAAGCAGGGGTCTGCAACCTTAAGCACTCAAAGAGCCATTTGGACCCGTTTCCCACAGAAAAGAAAACACCGGGAGCCACAAAAACTGGGTGGGTGTGGCCAACTCAATGTCACTCACTTCCACCAGTCACATGACCCCTTAGCCATGCCTACCCAGCTGGTCATTAGGGCAGAGAACCAGTTGTTAAAAAACACCGGGAACCACAAAATCCTTTTGACCTATCTCTCTCTCCCCTCCCTCCCTCTCTCCACCTCTCCCTCTCTCTCTGTCTCTCTCTCCCTCTCTCTCTGTATCTATGTCTCTCTCCCCCTCTCTGTCTCTCTCTCTGTCTCTCTCTCCCCCTCTCTTTGTATCTCTCTGTCTCTCTCTCTCTCCCTCTCTCTCTGTATCTATGTCTCTCTCCCCCTCTCTCTGTATCTCTCTCTGTCTCTCTCTACCCCCCTCTCTCTGTATCTCTCTCTCCCTCTCTCTCTGTATCTCTCTATGTCTCTCTCTCTCCCTCTCTCTGTATCTCTCTATGTCTCTCTCCCTCTCTCTCTGTATCTCTCTGTCTCTCTGTCTCCCTCTCTCTCTGTATCTCTCTCTGTCTCTCTCCCTCCCTCTCTCTCTCTGTATCTCTCTATGTCTCTCTCTCTCCCTCTCTTTCTGTATCTCTCTATGTCTCTCTCCCTCCATCCCTCTCTGTATCTCTCTATGTCTCTCTCTCTCTCCCTCTCTCTCTGTATCTCTCTCCCTCTGCCCTCTCTCTGTATCTCTCTCTGTCTCTCTCTACCCCCCTCTCTCTGTATCTCTCTCTCCCTCTCTCTCTGTATCTCTCTGTCTCTCTCTCTCCCTCTCTCTCTGTATCTCTCTATGTCTCTCTCTCTCCCTCTCTCTGTATCTATGTCTTTCTCTCTCTCCCTCTCTCTGTATCTCTCTATGTCTCTCTCTCTCCCTCTCTCTCTGTATCTCTCTATGTCTTTCTCTCTCTCCCTCTCTCTGTATCTCTCTATGTCTCTCTCTCTCCCCCTCTCTTTGTATCTCTCTGTCTCTCTCTCTCTCCCTCTCTCTCTGTATCTATGTCTCTCTCCCCCTCTCTCTGTATCTCTCTCTCCCTCTCTCTCTGTATCTCTCTATGTCTCTCTCTCTCCCTCTCTCTCTGTATCTCTCTATGTCTCTCTCTCTCCCTCTCTCTGTATCTATGTCTTTCTCTCTCCCTCTCTCTCTGTATCTCTCTATGTCTTTCTCTCTCTCCCTCTCTCTGTATCTCTCTATGTCTTTCTCTCTCTCCCTCTCTCTGTATCTCTCTATGTCTCTCTCTCTCCCTCTCTCTCTGTATCTCTCTATGTCTTTCTCTCTCTCCCTCTCTCTGTATCTCTCTATGTCTTTCTCTCTCCCTCTCTCTCTGTATCTCTCTATGTCTCTCTCTCTCTCTCCCTCTCTCTGTATCTCTCTGTCTCTGTCCTGGCCGCTTCTCCCATCCCCCGCCGTCACTCTTACCTTCTCAGGCCAGACAAGGAGTGACTGGGAGGGGAGGGTGAGGGGCGGGGCCAGCCAGTGGTGGAATCACCTGACAGGGAGCCACAGCAGAGGGCCCGAAGAGCCACATGCGGCTCCAGAGCTGCAGGTTGCTGACCTCTGGTCTAAAGATTTCATCTGCTTCTATGACTATCTCATGCCTTCCCATTTCTAGGGCACCCGCCAACCAGATGCATTAATCTCATGTCACACGCAGACCCAGGGCAATGTTCAAATTGCAACTGGGGGATTGTCACGTTTCACCCGTATGAATATATCCGTAAAATGTATGAATCCATCAAATGCGCTGCCTGCAGTAACAGCCTGACAGATCCTTCCATTAACAGCTCAAGCATCTCAACGGAGTAAAGCCCACCCAATGATTATACAGGCAGTCCTCGCCTTTACGACCACAAGTGAGCCCAAACTTTCTGTTGCTAAGCCAGACAAGTTGCTAACTGGGCTTGGCCCTGTTTTACGACCTTTCTTGCCACAGTTGCAAGTGAATCCGTGCAGCTTTTATGCTAGTAACCCAGTTGTTAAGGGAATCCGGCTTCCCCACTTGCAAAAAGGATATCACATGAGCCCAGGGCTCGGCAACTGTCATAAATACAGCAGTGGCCAAAATTGTGGAAACCTTTTGGGAAAAGTGCATTTTTGAGGTTTGATGGCTAATAACGTCACTTTTTTTTTTTTTGAGTTTCAAGATAATCCTATTCCACTGCTGGAATGGCCTGGGAATAGCCCAGACCTTCACCCAATGGAAAATCTATGGAGCCGACTAAAGAAACTTATTAGTCAGAGGCGACCCAGCAATAAAACTCAGTTAATAGAAGCAACCATTCAATCTTGGTTTCACATTATAACAGCTGCAGAACTAAAAGACTTGGTTTATTTATTTATTGGTTCAATTTATATGCCGCCCTTCTCCAGAGACTCAGGATGGCTTACAATGCATTTATTTATTTATTTATTATTATTATTATTATTATTATTATTATTATTATTATTATTATTATTTATTTATTTATTTATTTATTTATTTATTTATTTATTTATTTATTTATTTATTTGGTTCGATTTATATGCCGCCCTTCTCCAGAGACTCAGGGCAGTTTACAATGCATTAAGCAATAGCCTTCATACTTTTGTATATACCTGCTTAGTAGGGCTTTCGCCCCTCCCCCCAAGCGGTGTTCTTTTTTTATACAAAGTCAGCCTATTGCCCCCACAATCCGGGTCCTCATTTTCCCTACCTCGGAAGGATGGAAGGCTGAGTCAACCTTGAGCCTGGGGAGATTCGAACTTGCAGTAATTGCAGGCAGCTGGTGCTATTTAACAGCACTTTAGTCTGCTGCGCCACCAAGGCTCTTTCACTCCATGGGAAGACGTTGTAAGGCAGTCATTCATGCTAAAGGTGACCCAACTAAGGATTAAGTGACATGGGGATCATTTTTGTATATCTCGTTTTTTCTACGTGTTTCACTTTTCTTCTTTATACTGCTATTCTAATAGCAAATCCTTCATGAAAGTTATTGCATTACATTCTTGATTAAATGATCTTTCCATTGATATATAATTTTATGGTACTAGTCCCAAAAAAAAAAGGGGGTGTTATTAGCTAGTTTTAGAAAATACACTTTTCCCAAAAGTTTTCCACAATTTTGGCCACTACTGGCCAAGTCCCTGAATTCTGCAAAGGTCAGAAGTGCAGAAAATGGTTATAAGTCACTTTTTTGCAGTGCCAGGGTAACTTTGAATGGTCACTAAATGGACTAAAAAGGTAAAGGTTCCCCTCGCACATATGTGCTAGTCGTTCCTGACTCTAGGGGGCGGTGCTCATCTCCGTTTCAAAGCCGAAGAGCCAGCGCTGTCCGAAGACGTCTCCGTGGTCATGTGGCCAGCATGACTAAACGTCAAAGGCGCACGGAACGCTGTTCCCTTCCCACCAAAGGTGGTCCCTATTTTTCTACTTGCATTTTTTAACGTGCTTTCGAACTGCTAGGTTGGCAGAAGCTGGGACAAGTAACGTGAGCTCACCCCGTTATGCGGCCCTAGGGATTCGAACCGCTGAACTGCCGACCTTTCCATCGACAAGCTTAGCATCTTAGCCACAGAGCCACTGCGTCCCTACTAAATGGACTACCTGTGTTCAAAGTCTCACCTTGGGGAGTGGGGGGGGGGGAAGAAGGGAAGGTGTCCAAAATAACAGAATAACAGAGTTGGAAGGGACTCTGGAGGTCTTCTAGTCCAACCTCCTGCTCAGGCAGGAAACCCTATCTGGCTGCCCGGTGATGAAGCAAAAACCTCCAGTGATGAAGCACCCACAACTTCTGGAGGCAGGTTGTTCCACGGGTTAATCGTTCCTTTGATGTTTTCACACGGCAACTGCATGATGGTCGGGGAATTCTGGGATTTGAAATCCGCACATTTTAAAGCAGCCGAAGTTGAGAAGCACAGCTTTAAAGAAAAACCTCCGGCATTCAGGAGTATCCCATTAAGGTTTCCAACCAGCACCAAACAACCACTGGGCTTATTTTCTCTTCAAAAGTAATGCAAGCGCATGAGATGAAGAAAAAAAGAAAAGAAAAGAAAAGAAAAGAAAAGAAAGGAAGGGAAGGGAAGGGAAGGGAAGGAAAGGAGAAAAGAAAAGAAAAGAAAAGAAAAGGAAAGAAGAAAAGGAAAGAAAAGAAAAGAAAAGAAAAGAAAAGAAAAGAAAAGAAAAGAAAAGAAAAGAAAAGAGAAAAGAAGCAGAGAGGAGAAGGGAGGGGAGAGGAGAGAAGGTTGATCAGGAAGAGAGAGGGATGGAGGAAGGAAGGAAGGAAGGAAAGAAGGAGGGAGGGAGGAGGGGAGAGGAGAAAAGGTTGATCAGGAAGGAAGAGAGGGAAGGAGGGGAAGGGAAGGGAAGGGAAGGGAGGAGAGGGGATTGATCAGGAAGGGAGGGAGGAAGGAAGGAAGAGAGGGAGGGAGGGAGGAAGGAAGGAGGGAGGGAGGAGAGGAGGGAGGGAGAGGAGGGGAGGGGAGAAAAGGTTGATCTGGAAGGAAGAGAGGGATGGAGGAAGGAAGGAAGGAAAGGAGGGAGGGAGGGAGGAGGGGAGGGGAGAAAAGGTTGATCAGGAAGGAAGAGAGGGAAGGAGGGGAAGGGAAGGGAAAGGAAGGGAGGAGAGGGGATTGATCAGGGAGGGAGGGAGGAAGGAAGAATGGAGGGAGGAGAGGAGGGAAGGAGAGGAGAGGAGAGGAGAGGAGAGGAGAGGAGAGGAGAGGAGAGGAGAGGAGAGGAGAGGAGAGAAACTGCCACTACGAATGGTGGTCCCACACCGCATACCTCTGCCGGGGCACCGGGATGTAGGCCGAATGGTGCAGGGGGGTCTCATCCAGGAGTCGCAGAGCCGTCACTTCTTCCACCTGCTGTTTAAGCACCACAGGATTCGAGGTGAGCCTCAGGTGGCCATTCGCGGGCTCCAACTCTGCTGGAAACGCTTTGCCATTACAATGATTGGAACTCTGCAAGGAAGAGTTGAAGACATTTAGGGGAAGGGGTCCAACGGCATTTATTCTTTTTTTTTTTTTTTGCCCCAATGGATGTAGACCCCCCCCATCTCAATTGCACAACTTTGGCGGTTTAGAACAATTCACGTCTACCGAAAGAACGAAGCGTCGTCTTAAAACATATAAAGCCATTATCAACTTGAATAACAAAATTCACAGCGGGGCTCTAAAAAAAAAAACAATCTACACCCAGCACAAATACCACAAACATGAAACCTAGAGTAACTGAGTTGGAAGGGACCTTGGAGGTCTTCTAGTCCAGCCCACTGCTCAAGCAGGAGAGCCTATACCCGTGATGGCGAACCTATGGCACGGGTGCCACAGATGGCACATGGGCACGCGAGCTCAGCTTCGGCACACATGCGTGCGCCAGCCAGCTGATTTTTGGGCCTTCTGGGCCCACCAGAAGTCAGGAAACACACTGTTTCTGGCCTCCAGAGAGCCTCTGGGGGAGTGGGGAAGGCCGTTTTCACCCTCCCCAGGCTCCTAGAAAGGCTCTGGAGCCTGGGGAGAGCAAAAAACAGGCCTACCGGGCCCACCGTGCCATTGCGTGCCAAAAGTGGGGGGAGCATAGGGGGGGCACATAGAATTATGGATGTGGTCATGCGTGCGTGTGACCCCACCCTGGTCCCCCTGCTTTTGGCACGCGATGGCTAAAAGGTTAGCCATCGCTGGCCTATATCATTTCAGAGTGATGATTGTTCAGTCTCTTTTTGAAAACCTCCAGAGATGGAGCGTTCACAACTTCTGGTGGCAAGCTGTTCCACTGGTTAATTGATTTCACTGTCACAAAATTTCTCCTTAATTCTAGGTTGCTTCTCTCCTTGATACATTTCCATCTGAGACACATAGTTCTCTACTTACAACAGTTCATTTACTGACCGTTTGAAGTTACAGCGGCCCTGGAAAAAGTGGCTCTTCTCCAGGGAGTCCTTCCTTCTCATTAGGTGGCCAAAATATTTGAGTTTCCTCTTCAGGATCTGGCCTTCTAAAGAGCAGTCAGGGTTGATCTCCTCTAGGACTGACCGGTTTGATCTCCTTGCAGTCCAAGGGACTCGCAGGGGTCTTCTCCAGCACCAGAGTTCAAAGGCCTCCATTCTTTGGCCTTCTCAGCCTTCCTTATGGTCCAACTTTCACAGCCATCCATTGCAGCTGGGAAAACCATCGCCTTGACTATACACACTTTTATTGGCAGGGTGATGTCTCTGCTTTTAAGTATGGTGTCTAATGCCGGGGTAAAATCCAGCAGGTTCTGACAGGTTCTGGAGAACCGGTAGCGGAAATTTTGAGTAGTTCGGAGAACCGACAAATGCCACCTCTGGCTGGCCCCAGAGTGGGATGGGAATGGAGATTTTGCAATATCCTCCCCCCAGGAGTGGGAAGGGAATGGAGATTTTGCAGTATCCTTCCCCTGCCACACCCACCAAGCCACGCCCACCAAGCCACACCATGCCCACCAAGCTACGCCCACACAATCGGTAGTAAAAAAAATTTAGATTTCACCACTGGTCTAATGTATTTATTAAGAACACTTATACCGCCGCCTGACACATCCATGGTGACTCCAAGTGGCTCACCAAAATAAAACCCCAAGACAAAACTCAAACAAACCCCCGCCTGGTGACCACAATCAAACCATAGGTTTGCTAGACAAACCGAAGTCTTCGAGATCTTTTGAGAGAGTGACAGGGTGAATGCCGATCTTATTATAGTCCTAGTGGAACCAAAGGTGTTTTTTTCCCGATGCAACTGGCCTTCCTTGTTTTTCTTTGAAGACGTTTCGCTTCTCATCCAAGAAGCTTCTTCAGCTCTGACTAGATGGTGGTTCTTTTCTTTTCTTTTCTTTTTAATTTGATTTATATGCCGCCCTTCTCCGGAGACTCAGGGCGGCTTACAATGAGCTAAGCAATAGCCTTCATCCTTTTGTATATTTATACAAAGTCAGCTTATTGCCCCCACAATCCGGGTCCTCAATTTACCTACCTTAGAAAGGATGGAAGGCTGAGTCGACCTTGAGCCTGGTGAGATTCGAACCTGCAGTAATTGCAGGCAGCTGGTCTTAATAACAGGGTGCTTTAGACCACTGTACTACCAGGGCTCTCTATTCTATTCTATTCTATTCTATTCTCTTATTTCTGCAGGGATGAGGGAGCCACCACAGAGAAGGCCCTTCTTCTTAGGCCCACCGGATGGGCCTCCTTCGAAAGCTCCAACAGCTCCCCCAAACTCCAGCCGTGAAAATTGTGGAATTGCACAATGCTGACATGCGTGTAACAGGAGGGAAGAATCCCTCTTCGCTCTCGATCCAACGGAATTCTTTGTTTCCTAAAATCTCCCTTATTTCCACTCACCCACCCGGGAGGATTTATTATGGGGGTATTATTTTATTATTATATTTATTTTGTAATCCTGCAAATCCAGGCAACCCTGAACCTCTCCCCAAAAGGCTGCAGAGTCCCGGCTTTTATCTTAGATAAACACAGCAGGTGTAGACACAGGAGCAGTGCGCACGCTCGCCCGCGCGCCAACTGAAATTCAGACTCCGGAGAAGGCTAGTGATAAGCAAGTTGGAACATGGAGTGTAATTCCTCGGGTTCCGGCACGGGAATCTGCACTCCAGATCAGGCTGAGAAACCTCCAAGTTATGCTGGACAAACTCCCACTAAATATGGCTGCACAGGACAAGAATTGTGAGATCTTTCGCACAGCCTGCCCGGACATGCAACAATTTGAAGAGCTGGGGGGGGGGGGTGGGGTCCTTTTTTTTTTCCTGGGTCTCCCTACAACCGTAGAGAAAAAATTGCCAGGGATTTTTGCACGGCCCTGAATCAGCAAGGCCAGGACGAAAATTAAACCCCGTGGACACCCAAGCGCAACTGAAATTAAGATGCATCAACGAACGCTGATATAATTTACCAATGTTAAAGCTCGCTCTAAGAGTTGAGCTCATTTTTTTTTTTTTTTTAATTTGATTTATATGCCGCCCTTCTCCGGAGACTCAGGGCGGCTTACAATGCATTAAGCAATAACCTTCATCCTTTTTGTATATTTATACAAAATTTTCTTGGCGACGGTACAAAAGGGGTTCGCACTCACTCTCGTATGGGATTTTATTTATTTATATTTGAATTTATATACCGCCCTTCTCCCCCTAGGGACTCAGGGCGGTGAACAGCCGAAATTAAAATACATACAATATAAAAGTTAAGAGAGCTAAAATAAATGAAATCAATCAGCCCCCAATTTAAAACCCCAAAACTATACAATTAAAAAACTAACCCATAAAAAACCTAATTAGGCTAGGCCGGCTTGCTGAAATAAAAACGTCTTTGGGGCCTTACGGAAAGTGCGGAGATCCGGAATCAGCCGTATTCCGGGAGGCAGCTCATTCCAGAGGGCGGGTGCTCCCACAGAGAAGGCCCTCCTCCTGGGGGCCGCCAGCCGACATTGCCTGACCGACGGCACCCTGAGGAGGCCCTCTCTGTGAGAGCGTATTGGCCGGTGGGAGGTTGTCGGTAGCAGCAGGCGGTCTCGTAAATACCCTGGCCCTAAGCCATGGAGAGCTTTAAAGGTGAGAACCAACACCTTGAAGCGCACCCGGAAGACCACCGGGAGCCAGTGCAGCTCGCGCAGAAGAGGTTTTCTATAGGAGCGCCATGTCGCTCCCGTAATCACCCGTGTGGCCGCATTCTGGACCAGTTGAAGCCTCCGGGTGCTCCTCAAGGGGAGCCCCATGTAGAGAGCGTTACAGTAGTCCAGGCGGGAAGTGACGAGAGCATGAGTGACTGTGCATAAGGAATCCCGATCCAGAAAGGGGCGCAACTGGCGTATGAGGCGAACCTGATAAAAAGCCCCCCCGGCCACGGCTGTCATATGCTCTTGTAAAGACATGCGTTCTTAGACATGCGGGATTATGCGTTCACTTTGAAATTTCCTAGTGGACTCTCCATCAGGGACCAACTAGGTACAAACCAGAGATGGGTTTCAGCAGGTTCTGACCAGTTCTGGAGAACCGGTAGCGGAAATTTTGAGTAGTTCGGAGAACCGGTAGTAAAAATTCTGACAGGCCCCGCCCCCATCTATTCTCTGCCTCCCTAGTCCCAGCTGATCAGGAGGAAATGGGGATTTTGCAGTATCCTTCCCCTGGAATGGGGTGGGAATGGAGATTTTGCAGTATCCTTCCCCTGCCACGCCCACCAAGTCATGCCACACCCACCAAGCCACACCCACAGAACCGGTAGTAAAAATTTTTGAAACCCACCACTGGTATAAACCTAGTTAATTGGGTGTTTTTTTTCTTTTTGGAGACAGGCCCAGGAGTAACTGTAAATTCCCAGTTTGGTGGACAGGTTATGGGGATGGCCTAGAAACCAGGAGATGGTGAGTTCTAGTGCCACTTTGGGCATGAAAGCCGGCTGGGTGACTTTGGGCCAATCACCAGGAGACACTGAATTCTAGCCCCACCTTAGGCATGAAAGCCAATTGGGTGACTTTGGGCCAATCACCAGGAGATGGTAAGTTCTAGTCCCGCCTTAGGCATGAAAGCCAATTGGGTGACATTGGGCCAATCACGAGGAGACTGTGAGTTCTAGTCCCGCCTTAGGCATGAAAGCCGCCTGGGTGACTTTGGGCCAATCACCAGGAGACGGTGAGTTCTAGTCCCGCCTTAGGCATGAAAGCCTGCTGGGTGACTTTGGGCCAATCAGTCTCTCTCATCTGAACTCACCTCACAGGACTGTTGCTGTAGGGAAAAAGAGGAGGAGGAGGAGGAGGAGGAGGAGAGAGCATTCTTCATGTTTGGCGGTGAGTTACTTATAAAGTAATAAAGGTGAGATAAAAATTTAATAAATAAAAATAATAAAATAAATAACACCTATATGTCCATGGAGTTGCTTTGGCCACAATATGGAATTACCATAGTCTTCCTCCAAAATTGTTTTTTGACTTCTCAAAGA